TTCCAGTATCTGAAGGGGGCCGATAAGGATGCTGGGGAGGGACTCTTCATTAGGGACTCTAGTGGTAGGACAAGGGGTAATGGCTTTAAACTTAAACAGGGGAGCTTTAGGTTAGATATAAGGAAGAATTTCTTCACAGTGAGGGTGGTGAGGCACTGGAATAGGTTGCCCAAGGAAGTTGTGAATGCTCCAACCCTGGAGGTGTTCAAGGCCAGGCTGGACAGAGCCTTGGGCGACATAGTTGTGTGTGTGGTGTCCCTGCTCATGGCAGGGGAGTTGGAACTAGATCATCTTAAGGTACTTTCTAACCCTAACTATTCTATGATTCTATGATGATTCTATGATTCTATATTCCTGTTTCAACATCAATGCTTCAAATTAAGGATGGGTCCTAACTTAAGTCTAAAATTGTCTGTGTGTTTGTCTTTATGTATGTGTTTAAACTAAAATGCTGTGGCTTGATTTTATCTTCAGGTCTCAGCAATGTCAGACAACATCTCAGTTGCTGTTGCAACAAAGCTTACAGATGTCTGCTCCTCTATTTAGGGTTTTACTCTTCCCTGTTAATATCTGAAACTGAATCTACACACAGTGTAGATACATTTAGAAATATGACAATTTAAATCAAAATATTGGCTGACATCTAGCACTGCAAAGAAGGCAGAGGAAAAACAAATGTCAAATATAACTATTCTTTCATCAAAGCAGGACCTTTTTTTAGGCTTAAATATCTCACTGAATGTCATCTTATTTCCCTTCTCTCCTCAAAATTTCTGCCTAAGGAAAATATTAATATTAATTAAGTTTCTGTTTAGGCCTTTCCGTAGATGGATACATACAGGGAAATAATTTCTTCAGTTCTATTTTATGTCAAATTGTTTTTCTTCCTTTCTGTTACTTTCCTCTTTAATAACTAAAACTTTCACAAATACCATAGTGTGTTTAGAAGAGAGAAATAGCTGTACATAATATCACATTTCTTATAAGAAATATTAAAAATTTGAATTCTAACTTTTATTCAAAGTATTCTGTAATAGTGATATAGACACTATGGATTTTTTTTCTTGTTAATTATGTACATCAACATATGCTGTAATACTTTATAACTGACTGAAGATTAAAAATAAATCTCAGAACTCTCATTACTTCTACATTGCACAACCATGTAGAACAAGCAACTAAGATAAATTACATTCTTTAGTAAGCTGTGAAATAGTGTCTTCTTAATAATTATATGATTTACAGATCATAGAGCAGACCAAATAATCCTTTATATGGGATTATAAAATACTATTTTTATTTAGAAGTAAATAAAGGGTTTATAAGGATTTTCCTTAAAATCTAAAGAAACTGCCTCAAGCATTCTGCAAGTGACCTCTTTGCTTTGTTAATTTTTTGAGTAACAGTGTCTACACTACAAGCCTTGGGGTACCTTACTGCTTGCTTACAACTACCTGAAAGGTGGATAGAGCAAGGAGGTGGCTGGTCTTTTCTCCCAAATAACGAACAATAAGATAAAAAGAAATGGCCTCAAGCTGCACCAGGGGAGGTGCACCAGGGCAGTGCTGGAATCACCCTCTCTGGAAGTGTTCAAAAACTGTGTAGATGAGGCCCTCAGTGACATGATTTCATGGTGGACTTGGCGGTCCTGGGGTAATGGTTGGACTTGATGATCTTAAAGGTCTTTTCCAACCTGGTTGGTTCTATGATTCTATGATTCTAACTCTGGTCAAGCTGAATTAGGACCAGTTATGTGATAGACCAGAAGTCTAGATGTAAATGTGTAATCCTCCTGAGTAGAAGATCCTTCTAGGGAGGTCTTGAAAGGACCACTTTCCAAAAGGCCTCTCAAGGATTTACAGACAAGTATGAAACCATTCTAATAACATTTGTAGAAGGCATAGGACTGGTAGAATGATCAAATTCCATGCAGGTATCATCGTCACAACAAGACAGCAAGACCATAAACCCCCAAAATAATACATTTCATTCCATTAGTGTCACCACTGTGTGTTCAGAAATGTGATCTTTGGACAGTGATAAAGGAAAGAGAGAATAGGAGGAATGATGATGATGTGCCTCCACCACACTAGTGGAGGTTAGTTAGTTACTAGCACTATTTTCAGTGCTAGTACCTATGCCTTAAATTGAATGAGGCCCAGAAAACTAGTCCAAAAATTATTTGAAGGAATAAATCTTACAGAGAAAAAGCCTCACAATGAACTTGGTCTGGGTTTTGGGTTTTTTTTGTTATCAGAAAGAAACCTGAAAAGTGGCTTTATCAAAGCATACAAATGTATTCCCAGAGCAAATCAGTGGTTACAACATGGTTCTTATTTCTAGGAAAAATAGGTTATAGGAAGAATAAATGGATGTAATTCAAAGTCAGGAAAAAAAAAGTGAACGAGAAACAAGCTATACTAAATTAACAGTGAGAGTATTAAGGCACTGGAATAAACTCTCAAGATACACAAGTATTTCTCCATCTGCTAGGACCTTCGGATGAACACTGGCCATTTTTCCAAAAGATGAACTTTTGCCAGGTGTGAAAGCTTAGAAAAATATCAGTTTTGTAGGTTGATACGTCCATGTAAGTCAGAAGTCCTCAAAATCTGCGTCATGGACCAGTCAGTGTCCACTTCCAAAATTTTCCAAAGGGAAAGGCTAAGTCTAGTACAAGATTTAGGCCCTTATATTTTTGTCAGTTGTCCCCTCCGTACGAGTCCAGAACTCTGAGTGAGGAATCTTATTTTCCTAGAAAGTGTAAGAGGGAGAATTAATCTCTCTGGGTTGGACAGAAGTATCCAAACCATGTAGAGCTTCAGTTCTTCTCTAGCCCTGTTGGGCATCATTATTGTCAGGACATTAGGCAAGTTATATCCATGTCTCAGAAACCACAACCAAAATGTCTTCTGTTTAAATAAGTTGTAATTAGTCATGGTTAGATCGCTCTAATCTTTGTAGCCAGATTGTTCAGTTCCTGCAGTGATTCTTCCCCATGTCTTTTGCTTTCTGGAGGACTGATCTTGACAACTGGATTAGTCTAGTTAATGATGTGTAGAAGAAGAAAGGAAATTCAGATTAAGAAAGAAAATGCCTGAAGGAGCCCAAAGTCTTGCATTTAGTAACTGGGACATTCACTTGAGAGGTGACTGTCCTGATGATGAAATTTTTCAGACAGAGAAGTTCTTTCATCTCAAACTCTACAAATTTCTGGGTAAGAAATTCTTGGCTGTGTTAGTCAAACTGGCATATATATTACTTTTTCTTTAAAATAGTCACCTACATATTTGAGATCCTATGTGGGCAGATTCAGTGTTATCTATGAAGATTTATGAGTTTAGGACTCATAATAGACTCATAGGACTGCACTAGAAAGCTTTCTAGGAGTTTTTAAGTAGGAGATGTATGACAAACCACAGAGAAGGGGGAAATCTTTGGGCATTTAAAGCAGCAAAATTTTCAGTTCCTATAAAATATTAAAACTAAGCAGGGAAGTGTCTTCAGGGCTAAGTGACAAGCAAGGGAGGATTTTCTGGATTGATTAGAAAATATGGTTAATGATCATGAAAAAGGAATCTGTTCTACCAAGAATGCTAGGCAAATCTGAAATGTAAGCAAGGCAATAACTCATACTGTGTGCATATTCTTCCTAAAATACTTCTGTGACATACATCTATTTAATATGGTTTAAAATATGTTTCTTCAGTTGTGGCTGCTATTTTTGTCATTTCATACGGAAGCAGACATTACTCCTATAAGCTTTCTAAAAGACAAGACTGAGGTAAGTTCTTTCATCCAGCTTGGTTTTTATTGCATACCAGAGCTGATGAGCATTCTTTGTTTGCATAACAAGTATTGTAGATTGCGTTTACCAATTTGCCAGTGTCTGGGCAATGGGTTATGGCATCACTCTGTACATGAGAAAACACATTGACATTTGAGATAAAAATAGTTGACTCAAAAGACCTTTGAATAATTATAGAAGTCTTGCTTTTCTTGACTTTAATTTGCAAGCTAAGAGATAACACCAAGGGTCTTAGTGATGCCTGTGTAATACATGCACAAATACCCCATACCCCAGAAACAGAAGTGTATAAAAATCAGTGAGGGATGTAGATGTGTACATGACAGCAAGTCACTTTAGGCTTTCTTTATTAAATAAAGGATATGATCAATTATATTCAGAATGTAATTCCTGTTTACCTATAGCAGGTGTCTACATTTGGCTGGATAAATAATAAGGTAAACTGCATTAAACGTACTTCATTCCCT